CTTGTTTGAAACTATTTATGAACCTTGTTAAAATTCTGGTAATCAAAGAAGGAGATTTATCTAAAGTAAGAGAATTGTTGTCATATTATTGTAATAGATATTGGATGTCTGGCTGCTATTGTGGATTCGAGAATACCTACTCGTATACCTTCGATTCGAAACAAGATCATCTTGGTATCGCTAATGTGTCGTCAACGATTATTGTCCTCACTTGATTTCTGGTGCGGAAAGGACCATTAGTTTCTCTTTATATCGCATATGTTGAACTTCTTCAATGATGTAATCTATTCTAAATCAATTTCAATAAAATAAAGCGTTAAAAAAAAACCTTGTGGATTCATAGCGATAATACCAGAATTATCGATGAGGATTTGAACGAATTAGGAAACATATAGCGATAATATTGGAAATATTGGATTCTAGTTTATTATTGATGATGATTTGATCGAATCGAATCAAGAAACAAATTTGATTTGAGATAAGGAAACAAATATTATTTGCTTTGATGGTTGAGTTTACATAATCCATATATGCTTTTTTCTTGTTTGTTTGTGATAGATTCATGACCGGATCCTGAAAAACCCCAATTCGAAGAGAACGCACCACCACAGGGAGAACAAGAACCCCATAACACACCACCACCACATGAAGACGTTAAACTAATTTAATTAATTAAAATATATTATTGTTATATACTCCCTCCATATTATAATAGATGATGTTTTATAATTTTTTTTGTTTCATAATTGATGATGTTTTCAATTTTCTATGTAAAATTAGTTATGTTTTTGTTGTTTGATTGTTTAAATTCTACAGATTATATTTTTTAATTGGTTGAATTGTTTTGAAATTGATGATAAAATATGTTTTATTTTGAAAATACAATGGGAAATACCTTTTTGCATGTGAAGAAACATAAGACAATATTAAAATTTCCTTTAATAAAACAACTCTTTGATGGTCTATTCTAGTTAATTCCATGATTTTGTAGTTGTTCTGTTCAAAATCTGTTCATTTATAAAATCGTTGAAGTTAGGTTTGATTCTTGCCCCTAGTTTTATTGCATTGTCAACTATATAGGATTTTCTTGTCAACGACGTAGAATCTTATGATTTGAGTATGTTAAACTATGAAATGTCTATTTTCCATGGTAAGTTGTTTAAGTGATTAGTAAACAAACAAAACTTGATCAATATTTTTTGAAGAAAGTGTAACGTTCTTCCACTTGATGTGATTTTCTCGCTTATCACTTTACATAGAAAAACCATTTTCACAAGCTATTATTGTGATTTTTTTGTCATATGTGATTTTTTTGTATATATTGCATTCAGGTTTTTCTAACTGATTTCATAAATAACCCTATATTATCGGCCACTAGATGGATCGGAGCCGCCAAATAATCTTCCTAGAGCCGGCAAAACCTGGCCGCCAAATCGTTCTTCATCGGATCAGAGCGGAGAGTATATATCTACACTGAATTTTAATTAATTTTGGCCCAAAGTAGCATGACGAAGCTTGGGGCATGACCAGTTTTGTCTCGATTCTCTAACTCCTTTCTGTATTCTGTAGGAAACACAAAGATGAGAATAAGTGAAGCATACCTTCAGTTCTCTGACCAAATCTGGAGTATAAAAATGGCATGACCAGTTTTGTCTGGACCCTCTGACTTCTTTCTGCATTTTGTACAACTGATTTTTTCCTTTTTGACCATGAGGAGTTTTCCAATTAATTTTGGGGGAAAATTAATTTGTTTGGAGAATTAATTTTGGGCCAAAATTAATTTACTCATACATGCATAGTACATCAAAACATTTTATAGACTTGGTGTATATCCTCTGTATATTAAAGGAGAAACATTTTAGGATTATTTTGATGATGTGTCAAGCTCTCCTTTTCTTCTTAACTTTTTAATTAATAAATCAAACCTATTATTAATTCTCTACTATACTATTATCCAAACACTCCACAATGACACTATCCCTATAACCAAACATAATTGGAAAATGAGTTTTTATGTATTTATAATGACTTCCCCATTAACTCAAGATCAAAATAACTACATTATCTTATTATATAAAAGAGGATGCGCATGATAAAAATGCAACACGTAGGTAAAATTCTAATTCACTAGATTGCGACACGTGTTTAATAATAGATTTAATTATAAAGTAATTCTAAAATTAGAAAACGAACAAAATAATTATGAAGTAACCAACTAAATAGTAAAAAAGAAAATTTTCTTATTATTCAAACTAATGAATAAAAAAGCAAAATTTCTAATAATTCATACTGGCTAGATTAAAAAAATCTAATAGTTTAAACTAATTATCAAATTCAATTAAGAAAGAAAATAGAGAGAGTGTAAACCCTAAAAAGAAGTAGAGATAACAAAAAAAATCAAGTAAGAAAATATTATCGACGAGAGTTTGACACTAAGCAAAATTATAATTCAACAGATCATAACATGAATCAAATATTGATTAGATGAATACATGTGTTAAAACTTAAAATTAATTAAAAAAAAATAAAACTAAAAATAGAAAAATTCAAATAATCCCAATTAGTTAGGAAAAATAACTAAAAGAGTATAAACAAATTATAAAAATAAAACTAAAAAGGAAAATAGAGAGAGTATAAACAATTAAAAAATAGAGAGGAAACATATATTTAAATTAAGAAACAAATATGAATGATAAAACAAAAAAAAATTATAAATTGAAAAACAATAGATTAAAAAATAAGTATACTACATACCACATACAAAATAAGTCTACTACATACAATATAAGTCTACTACATACACAATAAGTATACTACATACAAAATAAGTCTACCACATACAAAATAAGTCTACTACATACCACATACAAAATAAGTCTACTACATACAAAATAAATCTACTACATACCACATACAAAATAAGTCTACTACATACACAATAAGTCTACTACATACAAAATAAGTCTACTACATACCACATACAAAATAAGTCTACATACAAAATAAGTCTACCACATACAAAATAAGTCTACTACATACAAAATAAATCTACTACATACCACATACAAAATAAGTCTACCACATACAAAATAAGTCTACTACAATACAAAATAAGTCTACCGCATACAAAGCAAGTTTACTACATACAAAATAAGTCTACATACAAAATAAATCTACTACATACATACAAAATAAGTCTACTACATACAAAATTAGTCTACCAGACTACCACATACAAAATAAGTCTACTACAAAAAATAAATATAAGTCTACTACAAAATAAGTCAAATATTTTTAGCTTTTTATGAGATTATTCACATAAATTTATTGTTTGATAATTTAACTCTATAATATTTTAATTGTTACAAGATTTTATCATATAGTTNATATAAATTCATAATGTGTAAGAATATGTGTTTTTGTTATTAAGAATATGATTGAATTTTATTTATGTATATATATTTTTTGGCATGCATA